AATCATCGCATCAAGATCTGTTTCTCCCAACTCAATTCCGTTTAGAACAATCCAATTAACATTGGTCAATTGTGCGCGGCACAATGGCATCAATGCTGCAGTAATTTCACAACCCGGATCTTTCTGTAGAACGCCCCCTTCATCATCAAAAGTATCTCGCGGTCTTCTTCTGGGAAGAGCATTACTGAAATCTACCTTTCGAAGCTGGAGTGACTTCAGAGCAAGTGCTTGAACTTCTTGGTATAATAGTGATCCATCCTGTGGCTTCATGGTGAAGTAGGTATCTATCGCGATCCCTACTCGAGTAGTCCAAGCTACGTGATCTATGCCGTAGGAATCCACAATACCATGCATACAATGAAGATCAATATCTGCAAAAGAAATTGAGCGAAAAGATTCGTTATATCGTAAAGACCTAAAAATAGCAAGCAGTTCGTAAATCGTATATTTAGCCGTCATGGCAGGAGGGTAGAGACGAAATTCGGGAGCATCCTCAACATTCCAATCAACTGCATATTTTATGTTCACGGGATTGCACTAGGTATGTCAGCCAGATTGATTTCGCAAGCCAACACGCAGTATCTTACATTATAGGCCATGCAATAAGCAACCAAGGTTCTATCAAAACACCCATACTCCTCTTCTTCGTGAACTAGAGGGATATCACCAGACTCCAATAGACGCATGGGTCCGTTGAACGTGAAGTTGTAGTCCAGCCATGCTGGTTTGAGATACTGTATGGCTTGAAAGATGACCACCGCAATATCGTGTGTGGCTGAAGCTGCTAATTCGAGCATCTTGGCTTGTTGAAGGGGTGTTCTACGCTTGAATTAGTCCCTATCTCTGCGTTTGCAATTATTGTCAAGATGCACAATCACTGGATATAAGGGCTATCTAGATACATGTAGGCGCTTAGACCTGATACTTCTGACGGCACAAAGCGAATATAGGAACAATATCAGACATAATGGGCTGCAATTGCCATGCTGAGACAGACAATGGCACTCGCAACCGTCAAATGTCACACATGGATTTCCCATACCACGCGACAAACTCTGCACAAGAAGGCAAACATGAAGTACGCTAAGAGATCTGAACTAACCTGAATGCGAGCTCAAATCGATCATCAGAATACTGCACGTTCATTGCAACTAGGGATATAAGGCCGTACGAATTTCGACTTGATTTTGGATGAAAAAGGGCACCGGAAGGCAGGCTAAAATCGGGTAGGGGTATCAGGTGCAATCGATTTATACCAATGACCATGTAGAACACTGATGATCCAAGTTTTTGAAGATCGTCCGATGAGGAGCGCGCGCTCTTTGCTAATGGAGCTCGTTTGACAACTCTGAATACCTGAAAATGGTTCGAATCGTAGTCATCAACTCCCTCCAGGGTCTGAACGAGGTATCGGACAACTCGTTCGGGGTATGGTTCCGGCATCATGAGTCTGGCTTTCTGCGCAGCCGCTCTTATTGAAGTGGACCATAGATCTGCATCCTTCGGGTCATGTAACATAAGCTGAATGGATCCTACTCCATGGTAATCCTCGTCTAAAAACACGACCTCGGTAGTGAAAAATGGCCGCCCGTCCTCCATCTTGTAGACTGTGACAACCTGACCCAGAGGAATTCTATTTTCGCCCTCCGTTGATGCATGCGAAGCTTGAGACTGTACTTCTTGTAGCGACCCTATTGATGCAGTGGATGACTGGCGATGAGATTGACGCAAGTGCGCCGGTTGTATATTTGGAAATGCCTCTATCGCTCGCGCCATGCTCTTGAATCGTGTCAAGTGTGTATCCGTCAGGACAAGGTATTCCTTTTTCTTTCTAAACATCGACGTCGTCGTCTGAACTTCGCCATGGTGAAGTATCGAAACGGCACTACTCGCATTGAGAATCCCCGCCGCAAGATAGTGATACTCCTCTTCGGGAGATTCAGGAGTTGTGCCTGTAACCTCCTTATCCTCATCCACATCGGTCATAGACCTTCTCCCCAAGGATCCGAATAATGAAGTTGGTCTGCCTTTTTGCAGTGTACGAGGTCGCAGTTTTGGCGAATGGGCGTCGGCTTTCGTGGGACTATGGCTTGTATTTTCTGTATCGATGTACATTGAAGGCGTCAGACTGCCAAAGATCGAGCTTCTCTTCCCCAGCTTCTTCTTATCCTTCTGCTCCTTGTCGTTCGTGTTGCCATTGTTGATGTCGGTGTTGATATGCGCGAGATTTGAAAATGATGCTCTGGAAAGGAGACTTAAACTCTTTCGCCGAGATTCTTTGGGCGCCATCTCATAACTTTTCTCTCGACGGGAAAAACTCTTGCTAAGCTGGATTGCAAAGCCAAATATGAATGATTAGGTTCTTCAGGAACATTCATGCGGCAGAAGTTGAGGGGTTTTTAATGTGTATGAAGTTTAGTAGGAAATTTCACCGGATCAAGCTACGATAGCTGCAAATGTATAGCTGGAGAGGTATGGTGGACGAGCATCTGATGAAAGCGGAATTGCGAATTAATGAAGATCTGAAAGTGAAACAAAATACACAATTGAAGAGAATGAATGTATGGAATAGGAAGATGAAAAGTAAAAAAAAGACGAAAAAGCTAGAAAAAAGGTGTACTGTTTGCAGCAGTGAATTAATTAAAGTTAAGGACGAGAAATTGAGCTTAAAATGAATTAATTGATCGACTATAGAATTATATATTATGTACGATATGGAGGTAGCGACCGATGTATGGATGGGATGTACGATAGGCTGAGGTAGGTATATCCAGGATGGTGGATGTAGAGCATGTATGATAACGGGAACCAGCGAAAAAATGGCGAATGGCTCGCCCTCGTTCGATTTTGGTGGGGAGGAGAATTGCGTTGGGTGCGGGTAGATGAAATGATTGAGAAGATTTATAATTTAGAAATTGTAATTTATTACAATTTATAAAGTCCGGATTATAAATGATAGATGGAGATGCAAGCAAGCAGGCAAGCAAGCAAGCAAAGAAAAGATGGTAAATTCATAAATCAGAAATGAATACGAGTAGCGAGAAGGTAAATAGGTAGATAAACAAATGAATGGTACTGGTGTACCTCCTGGGTATAAAGTGGGTGTGATCATAACAAGACTCTCTCTCTCTCTCTCTCTCTCTCTCTCTCTCTCTCTCTCGTCCTTTATGTATTCTACCAGGAGAGAGGTATCGTATCGTCTGGTCATACAGTAAGAAATCCCTATAAAGTACCTGTCGAGGTACCGTGGATAAGGTAAAGTTAGTAATTCCCTCCCTCCCTTGGTACCTATCTAGCACCGAGAACCTTTTCCAACATTCGCTTGGCAAAAGAGAAGTCTGGTGGTTCGGGGGTTGATGGTAGGTATGGATGGGATAGTAATGTGATATATCTCCCTACCTAGCTATGGTGGTAGCTGCTACCGCTTGTGGATGTGGATGTGGTTGTGGCTGTGGCTATGGATGGTTATGGCTATGGATGGTTATGGCTAGGTATGCAGGTGGTTATGGCTAGGTATGAATAGTTATAATTATCATCATGTTTATGCTCCCGGTGATACTGCTGGTACCGTCTGCCTTTTTGATATGTTTACCGATATGGTTACCGATAGATTTACCTCCCTACAGAGTAAGAATTAAAGAATTTCCACAAAGAAAAGGGTGAGAATGGACGGATGCAGTGCATGCAACGCAGCGTGTGTGGTGTGGTGTGGTGTGGTGTGGTGTCTGGTGCTTTGGCTCTGATTGCGGGAGCGGGACATCCAACCCTGTGTGCTAGGTAACTCCCTAGTAATTCCCTAGGAAAGGTATTTAATTAATTAGTACAGAGAATGTTGCACCGGTCTATTATGCATGCAGAGAGAGAGAGAGAGAGAGAGAGAGAGAGAGAGAGAGAGAGAGAGAGAGAGAGAGAGAGAGAGAGAGAGATAGAGAGAGAGAAACCGATCATGTATCCATGCCAATGTTTTGGGATTTGGGGAATGATCTGACCCTGTCTGTCTGTACCAATGCATCCTCTATTTTGGTTTGTACTTGATTGTATTGTATTGTACTTGCTGTATATACCTAGCTATCCTCGAAATCACAAAATGCATTCCGAATACCTACCTACCTACCGAGTATCTTGAACCTTACTGGCTATGCCATACTCCGCAGTCAAGCTCAAACCAACAACAGGAGATAAATTCCCCTGGACCGTCTGAATGATCTGGTTGGTGATGAGCAATATCGTGATAAATGACCATGTTAAAGAGGCGCCGGCATAAATTGGGTCATACAATCATATTACCGTATTCTCCAGCTGTCTTTCGCCATGATCGTCGCTCACCTATCGTCTATCAAAATCCAAACAAATATACTAACGCCTACGAGTATAATGTCCTAATTCAACCTTGGGCGTCGGATGATTCGATCTCTTCAAAACTTAGATTCCTCATGCGGAGTAAACACTCTTCAATACCTCCAATCTTCCTCATTTAGGTTTGATGGTCTAATGACCTCTCAGACTGGAATACTCAGAATGTAGAAAAGAACGCGTGTTGGGGTTTGTTTGATTTCATCAATCGAGTGCTAGTATCGAGGCCTCTCCCGAAATACGAGCCGCCTTGGTTACTCTGCATCACATCCTACACCCGTCCATTCGTATAAAGATTAGCATTCATGCTGCGGTTGGTTCTGATTTTGTGAATCGTGTCAGAGAATCTCAGGGCCTGCTATTCCCTGCAGCTTCATCTAAATGATCGTATTATACACAGCTTATGCTGTGCAGTGCTTTTCGGTACCTTACCGTAGTGTCAGGGACGAAAGGGATGATCTTGATTTCGTCTCATCTTTTCAAAACAGCTACCAAATTATATTCCCAACATCAAATTTCATCAGATCTGCATAACCCTACGAAAGTGGCTTGTTTTACCTCCTCAAACATCGGAGAATATTCGAGAGAGATTAAATCCTCCGGGATGTCTTCACTGTTCAGCCTTGTTGTCCATTATTACCCAATTACTAGCTATCACCAGTGTCAAGGGGTCCAACAACCGCAGACCCCTTGACAGCATATCCGCCTTCCTTTCCTTCAATCCACACTTCGTATTTGTTGCTTTTGTCGGCATTCTTCCCCACACAGACTCTTAGTTCTTCATTTGCGTAAAGTGGAGCCAGGTTTCTGTAATTGAACTTTTTTATCATCTCACCAGGCTGAAGTTGTGATCGCAAGACGGAGAACATGAGCACCAATGAAAGGGGTCCGTGAAGGAGTAGGTTCCTATATCCTTCAGACTCCCGGCAGTATTGGGGATCCAGGTGTATCGCGTGAGCATTAAATGTAAGGGCCGAAAATCTAAATAAAAGGGATTGTGTAGGTGTCATTCGCACATCAAAGTCTGGTTTACGCGTGGCTATAAGCTTGGTTAATGGGACAAAGAAATCCTTGGGCAACAGTGTGGAAATAGCTTACGCCTCAAGATCTTTGGAAGCCTAGCGCAATCCTCTCTGGCAGTAGTTGTGTCTTTCTCCCGCATGAAGACGATATTCCGCGTCTCCACTAAGGATGCTTGTCCGATGCTGTCGTTATTATCGACATGGTGACGTTGTAGTAATTGTTGATCGGCCATGTAATTTCGATCACTTACAGAGCACTTTCCCGAAGCGATTGCGCTGCTCTTTGCATCTGGTTTCATCCGCAGTTCCTCTCCAGTATCAGCGAGGCCAACCCGTCTCTCAATGTTTACAAACACTTTCTCGTCACCTTCACGCCCTTTGACCGAAACATCCACGATTCGTTCTATACAAGCTGCTCGCATGTTACCAAGACGGAGTTGCTCTCCACTCGTAGTATTGAAAACCAGAGACCCACCAGCCCACATGCGGCGCACAAATGGCGGCCCTGGGGACTGCAGAGGATCTGTGCCATCGGGGAGTAGAGCACTGTGAGGAATTTGCGGAGAGAAATAGACTAGATGATGCGACTGGGGGAGAAGTGCTGTATCACTACGCTCATGTCCGAGTGCAGTAGTGTACGGAAGGGTGAGGTCTTGGGCTTTGAAATTAGCAGGGTAGCATGTAGGTGGAAGGAAGTCCGCCAGAGATATATTTAAAAGATGAGAAGGAGTTGGCGACAAATAATCATATATAATGTTGGGCTTGCGTGATGTGAGTTCCTTGTGGAGAATTGACTGTGTAGAAGATTTTCGAGCATGCGCGGGTGATACCAAGGAGCGATGGATGGTACGAAGACCATATGATCGAGAATAAAAGAAATTGGAGAACCTCATGCCAGGTTTTATGCAGAAAATATCTGCGAGAATATCATAAATTCGTCATCATAAACTGTGATGGGTAGAAGAAGTAGTACATAAAAGATTGGATGGAAGAAGATTCCGAAGATCTAAACGACGTGAAAAGGCCCGCGACCTGAATGCCAAGAAAAGCGTCATCCTTATCGATAAGAATCCGATAAAGGCGGATGTTTGTCTAAATTTCCTTCGGTATATCGTAGCCATGCCATAAATACCATGCCATTGATACTCCATTATATTTTCTTTTGTCTATCCACAAGTTTATCTTCCCAGCTCCCAAGCCAGTGCCAATCCTGTGTGTATTTGTCGAGGCTATTCAATGCCCCAGCTACTTTTCCCTCTGGATCACTCAGCTTACTTCCCTCAAACTCAACGAAGAAAATGTATTGGAAAGGAACTATTTTCGTTGGGCGACTGTTAATACTTGTCAAATTGACTTGGTATCTCCTGAAGCAATCCAGTACATCTGCGAGTGCACCCGGTGTCCTATGATCAATAGTGAAAGTAACCATCGACTTGGCGGCAACATCAACCTTTGTCGCAGATGTATCTACACCTTTGCGCAAAATGAGGAATCTGGTAGTATTATCATCACGATCCTCAATTCCTTTTGCCAGAATATCCAGTTTGTGGATATCTGCTGCGAGCGAACTAGCAATGGCTGCACTTGTACCAGTCTTATCTGCTTGAACGATTTCGGCTGCCTTGCTTGTGGAACTGACATCCAGTCTCTCAACCCCCTTCAAGTATGTTCCTAGAAATGCCTCGCATTGACCGTATGCTTGTGGGTGGGTGTAAATACGTTGAATGTGATTGAGACTAGATAGCGGCGTTGTCTTTGGCTTGACAGGAGAAGGAGTGGATGTAGTAGGAGTACAAGTGCCAGACATTACTGGAGAATCTGCCGTCGAAACATAACCTAACAGGCAGTGACTAACATCAAGATAGGCTTCACCGCATATTGTGACATCTTTGTATAAGGAATGGCGATCTGCGAGGAGTTCTAGGGTAAAGATCACAGCTCCATTTGTGGAATTTTCAAAAGGTACAACACCTAACTCTGCTTTGCCCGATTGAACAGCCTCGAAAACATCTATATGCCATCAGTAACGCGTTGGCGATGATTTGAAGATTGCAATACCTGGTATTCCAATGGCTGGTTGGTACTCGTACTTCTCTTTATCGAAGCGTCCAAGAGCGGCCTGGGGGTGACAGTCATCTGTTAGTCCTATTGGAATTGCATGTTGCTCATAATGTCGACAATTGAAGGGCGCTGGACACTGAATTAAACGAAGATCAAGTACCTGATGAGTATAAGAAGAAATGGGCCCAAGGAAAGAGATGGCTGGTCTGCTAGAGGAGTTGATTCTGGACTGCATTGTTTAGCTTGTCTTCACTCCTTCTCAGAGTTGACGTGGTTCGGTGGTTCGGAAAAGACTAATATGATTCCGGGTTTATATAATAATCGGCTTCACTGCATCTCGGGAAGACTCGCGTACCACTCATACGGTCGAATTGTTTGTAGAAGAAAGTTGTGGTCACTCGTGAGAAAGTAACGGAAATCTTTGATATTTATTTTGCTACGTACTGTTGCCCACTCACCCCGCTACTGTAAACATGAGAAGAAACCCCACCTTGTCACGATTTCCGCGGAAGGTATTGCTAGATTCTTCGGATCCGGTCATCATTCAAGGAGGTGTCAATCAAGGAGATATGGGTCTTTTTGTGTATGGGATTGTGTACTGGCTTCTGTCATCATGATGATTTGGGGTAAATTTGGGAATATTCGAGAATTTCACAGGTATATTGCCCCAAATGAGAAACACAATATGAAGCATTGAACTCAAGTATAAAAGCTGTCTGATATTTGAGTTCGGGTAACCTGATCTATCCATGGCCGATCTATTGATACTTAACTTCAGATAACCTTCTATACATTTTAATAGCAAGCAATTCTGCGAAAACGCAATCTTTCCTCGACCTTAACACACATGAGAAACATCAGGGTATCGCCTAGTTTTCACGGAATCATATATTCTGCACGAAATTGTCAGAAAGGTGCAGAAGGAACAACAACGAATAAATCACATACCTGAAATATGGTTTCTCCGACTTACGAAGCCGTCATGACGGACCGGAGAGGGCTGGGACGGGCATTCCCTGTGTTCCCTCTTAGTCCCAAGCCAGCTGGGGAAGCCGGCTGCGCTGGGGTCGTCTGTTGCACGGCACGAGGGCGGTGTGACAGAATTTGGCTTGACGGTTCGACTGGAGTTGGCTCCTCGCCCGATGCGAGGGCATCAAACTGTCAATCTATATCATATTAGTCTCTGAAGTAATTTTTGTTTATGAATGCTTATAGCATACCGTCGTAGTAGTCATCATCGTCATCAACTTCGGCCAACTGTTCAAAATTGACCTTGTAGCGCAAGAGGCCACCAATACCACCAAAACCCTTAACGAATTGGTTGCCCTCACTGGATCTGTCCGAGACAAACTCTAATGTTGTTCCGAAATCTCTGTACTTCTCGGCGATCCATTCCAAGAACGATTCCGAGGAAACGACTTCCATTTCTTGGCCAGTCTCCTTGTCCATGAATTGTTCTCGGTTTGAGGCCTCGGATTGCTTAGTAGTATGAAGAATTGTTTGGACGCCATTGCTATCTTTCAACACCCAACGGTTGATCTCGAGGTTCTCAAAAACGATCAAAACCTCAACAGCACCTAGTTCCAGAGCCTTCAAAGTATCCTCAACACCATAACAAACTCGTCCTGTGTCTTGACTAATCTCCTCAAAGTACTTTCCAATGAGCTTCTTCTCCTGGATGAATTTGACATTGCTAAGTGTCTCGGCTGAAAGCTCAATAGCTTGATTGAATCCGTTCTCACCACCATAAGAAACATCAACAACCTTGATAACCTTTGTAGCCAAACGGTTGTCAAACAAATCAGACTGGTTAAGATCGTTCTTGAAGTCGGCAGAACCAGCCAAGATGATACCAGCTACGTTGACTTTATCTGCTGTAATGAAGTTCTGGACAGCTAATTCGGCAACCTTTCTGACATAGTTATGACGCTTTTCCTCACGAAGACGCGCGAAACGAAGAGCAGATTGTCCACCACGTCCGTGCTTCTTTGGTAAATCGACAGAAAATTTGTGAACAACGTCTCTCGTGTTTCCACTCAATGTACCGAAGAGGGCTCCATTTCCGTCCATGATGATGAAGCCGAACTTCTGGTCAGACTCCAACAATTCAGCGAGAGCTTCCGTGTGGAATTTGTTGTCGCAAAGGTAGAGAGATGTGTTGATGGGCTTGAAGGGCTCGAAATCGATGTTGACCTTTCTTTCCTTTCCTTCCGATGTCAAAATTTCACCACAGTAAACAACCAATCCATTGGGCGGAACTTTGTTATACAACTTCAGTCTTTGTTGGGTAGACGTGATAGCAGAAAGAACGGATTGTCGATTCACACGAGACTTGATGTTCGATGCGGTACCCTATATCCAAGTTTGAGTCAGTATATAATAGGCAGATATCAAGAAAATGCGGCAACATACGTATTCTTCTGCCAACATCTTCGCCGCACGGGAGACTTGATCCTTTGGCGCTACATAGTATGTTAGAGAGCATGTAAATAACATATCGATGTGACGTCTTACGAATGATGAGAGAAATCATGGAGGTTCCATTTCCACGCGCAGCTTCGAGGCGCTTAATCAATTTTTTCACCTTCCATATCTCGATATTCTTCTCGGCCTCATTTGCCTGAGCGTCACTCATATTGGCGGATAATGAGACAAAACCACTTAGACAAGTTGACCTTTATGAATGATTTGACCTGTAAGTGGTTGGACAATATCCGTTGACTCTGCAATTTACAGTTGTCAAGATATGATCTATTCGTCTTGTCTTTGTCGTATTTGTGACGTGGGCTTAGGGTCAGAGTGTGGGTGGTGGTCAGAAGAAATTTAGTGTGCTAGTAAAGGTTAGGCGAGGGGTCGGGAACTTTCGAAGTGTCGTACCTAGGCTCGCTAGGTAGGTAATGACAGTAAAATAAAAGTAGGAAGCAAAAACGTCACAGGAATGAATTTTAGTGGAGAAAATTTTACATTCTCTCAAAATAATAATAACATCACGAGATTTCAATTTATATGAGAATGCGTGCATCGCATCATCCAGGTATGATATCTACATTCTAACCCATTGTCGATCGATGATGATGATGGTGAAGTCGACAATAGGATATACAACAGTTTCTTCAAGGAGCTTTTGCGAACACTACAGTACGCCATATAGTCTGTATTTTGAGAAGATGGTAGCCATCTATGATACCATACTGCGCTGTATAGAACCTCTACAGCAGAGGTACTCTCTTTAATAACGGCCGTCCACGATATCATACTGCCAGCTGTATAGAATTTTTACAGCAGATCAATCTCGTCAGTAACAGCCGTCCACGGTATCATACTGCCAGCTTTGTATGGCTCTTCATCCCACCTCACTCTATTGCAGATCTATCACCGTTTCTTCTTTGCCTCGTTCAGGGCATTACAGCACTCTGAGGTTTCCTCGTCTTTTCATTCGCATCGCTCTGTTGAAATTGTAACGATTAAACTAAGAGTGGCATTGCAGTGCATTGTGGTATCTCAAGTCACCATCCCCAGTCTTAAAGTACAGAACTTACATATCATATCCCGTTCAAAATATTCAGTCATACAACTTGCACAAGACTAAGCCTCAGTTTTTCTTCGGACGCTGTTGTCATCTTAATCTTTCTTTTTTGCATTTCCTGAAATAATGAGTCATGAAGCTCTCACCAAACCAAAGAAGCTCCTCTTACCATGCTCGTCCAAGTCACAATCTGGCAGTAAATACCGATTCTATATCTGTTTCATGGATGAATTAGCGGTGGGTCAAATTGAATCCTAAATTGGAACTATTCAATGTTCGAAAAACTACAAGTTTGTGCTGAGTACCTAGGTGAATGCAACCTCTAATTTTCTCGATTAGTTATTAACTTGATCCCAAAAACGTCTTCCAACACCAGGCTATTGTTGTTAGATCCAACCCAAGCCATCGAGGGCCATTCATTCTAGTGCTCAACTTTCTTTATCGGAGACACGTCCGAATATCTAGCTCAGTCTGCGCGATCATATACATTTCAGTAGATTTACTCGATCTTGGAAGTGAAGGAGGTTTCCGCGTTTCTAGCAACAATGAATTTTGAAGCTAAAGCTTTATTCTTCGAATTCAAGAATCATCCCTTTTCAAGCTTCATATGGTGTCTACGGGAACTTGCGAAACTTCCATTACGTATCACATAGGTATCTCATGGGGGTCATTTCATCGTTATTTTCCACATGGTTCGAACAGCAACTATAGCAGAGAGCAGAGGTAAGGATCTCTGGAAGTTTTCCGTACCTAGGCCCGCGGTTTCTTTGTTCTAGCTCCAGCTCCAACTCCATGTTCTTAGGACTGACTTTGCGGGAAGTCCCAGATATTCATCTTTGAACAACCTATCTAAATGGATAGAATCTTGTCATGAAGTCATTTAGATACTGGCTTGCCACAGCTAAACCAAATCTATTTCATTTGGGAGTGCTGCTCGAACAGTGGGCTCGTGTAAGCGAACATTCAAAAATGTTAGACAGAATCGACTCTTGAGAGTGAGGAGGTTGTTTCGATAATAACAGGTATCGTTATGTTCAATTGCTAAGCTTGAAAAATACATGAATTCCGATACTGAATTCCACCATTCAAAGAAAGTACATAAGTTCTTGTGGTCCCACCATTAGATACTTTGGACAATTGACATAACTCCTAACTTTTTGCCATCCTCTGCACGACCATCACCACCACAAAACTTTTGGCTGTACAGTTTCAGCGTACGTATTGAAATCTTTTGGATCAAATGATTGATTGTATGTGTAAGATTATGTCTATGCCGAATTATTATCTGGTATCTGTATTTTTACGTGGGGTCTTTACCGACAGCCTCATGCTAGATCCTCCTACCCATTCATCATCCTCCTGAGTACATGCCGGGCATCTTCCTGACTTATTGGTAATTGAGAGCTTTGGGTCCTTTTGCCAGTTCTTGCAAGTCTCCAATGGTCCTTCAGGATTTAGAGAGCATCTTAATGTTTGCGGGTCGACATCCCCGCACTCGTACTGTATCCACAACTTATCGCCGCACATGTAGAATGGTATGGTTTAGTTTCGCGTCAGTACCTGCGTATCTGATAGAGCTTGTTCAGGCGTTTTGTGACGCGAACCTCCTGACAAGGTTGATATCTGAGCGAGTGCTTGGAGTGAAGTTTTGAATTTGTGTTCCAGATGGGATTCAGAGTATTTGTGTTTGTTCATATCTTTACAAAACATCTGATTTAGGGGAAACCTTTTCGAATAAATATTTTACTGCTCTACCAATATCAAAAACCTGAAACAGTTTTCATGGCTTCCACCACGGAATCTGCCGGCGGATTCATGCGGGGCATACTAGGCACAATTTCAATACATGACGGTTGATACACGGTGACAAAGAAATCATAGGGGTAGAGAAAAGACTTTTTTTCAAGATGACGTGAAACCTGTCGATTGAAAACTATCGATTTGTCGTACTGGCAGTGCGAAGATATACTCCACGTCGCAATCTTTGGTATCGAACGAAAAGATGGATATCGGCTTTCTCCCTGCCAAGTGATGAATGTGAAGTTTCAATGTCTGAACTTTACTCAATTCGAAGTGAAATCAAGGATTCTGATAGCTGAATTCGTCTATCTTAATACAGTAGTTTAAGTGCTTTTATTTTCGGCTGCAATCTAAACATTGAGATAGTCCCTAGCAGGACTCAAAGAATCTATATACGTTTCGCTGCCTCAAGTATCCAGGTAGTTTCCGTCGCAACACTCTCGAAGCACGCTATTCTGACCAGAATTTTTTTTTTACGCACCCTGTTGTCTGGGACCTTAGAGATGCTCACCTGGAGTTTACATCTTAGCCTGCTCATTCTATTCAAACATTGTGATGGTGCTCCCTTGTGAAGGAAAGACTTTGTACATACCATTTCCTCATCGCCAATTCCCATGGGCTTCCTTCACTACATGCGATTGTACTTTCCTGCTCGCTGCCTTTGTATCATCAAAAGAAAAAGGACCTATAGATGTCTGAGGTCTGGACGAATAATCGCAGTCGATAATGTCGATAGTCTTGGCGATAATATCTTCAGACTTCACTGGTCGTATGTCAGCGATAAACTGAGGTTCAAAGCAGAGTACTTCACCAAGCCTACCTTTCTGTTTCTTTTGAGGACGCTCATGAATTTTAATCTTGCTTTTTCTCAAAGCCGTATCAGGATAGAGATTGGGAAAGACCTTGCTGAGATGGTCGACATTTCCGTCATTCCATTCCTTACTGCAGGGCAACCAAGTGAATTTATCGAATATCGCGTCCTTCATGAAGTTCACGTTGCCAAACGTCTTACCGGAGATTCTTCCCCAATCGATGCACCTTCCTGGACAGTTATACAGACCTGGATCCCAATGACCCATCGGACCTCTTGCGTCCCTTGAACGTTCCGAAGTCTGGCGAGTGACACAACTCTCGAATACCCGACCGGCTGGGTTTTTGTCGCAGCGCATTTCAGCATAGCGTAAATCGCCACAGTAAAATCTAACCCACTGTCGCTGACACATTTTTGTAATCGGAAAAATAATTGGTACGTGGTTGTTGAAATATTTCGAGTCCGGATAACAGGTATGTTGAGATCTTAATCTTGGTATGCAATGTCTTATGTTGGCTTAATGAATGATGCATAATATGTTGTTTTTCTTGTTGCTGTTTTTGTTTTTGATTTTTTGAAAGCTGTCGATGAAGTAGAGAGCTCTTAACTTCTCCGAGTTATTACTGACCCTTGTCGCTCTTTCCTACTACTGTTTATGGAAATGGCCTGCTCAGGCAGACCTTCCCGGACCAGTAAGCAAGCGGAGAATAAAGATGATGTCATACAACACTGATATTGCAGTAATGGTGGATCATTGTGTTGTAGTCTAGGATACGGTTCATTTTGGATCAAATTTTGATGGTATGACTGTTCTAGGAATTTGATGTTTGAATTGATTGTAGATGTTCTAGACAACTTCAATGTAAGATCACTGCAACGTCCAGGATAATTTTAATGTTTAGTCAAACTTCAAGATTCAAAATAGATTTGAAGTTCAAATTGTTCAAAATCTTCGAAAGACCTTTGTTATTTGAGTTTATGTGAATAGTCATAGGTCTCTGCCATTGTTAGATTTCAGGTGGACAGTGGACCACCTAGATACTCAATCTCAGTCTGGTCAAGTGGCAAGGAATATTGCACTGACTGATACACAAAGCAGAGAGAGCAATCATTATTTGGATGGGTTTTACAATACTTGTAGTATGGATATTGTCATTTTAACAATACTCGAGTTTACTAGGTATATACTTCCGCTTTGCAGTTTACTATTAGTGATTCCCTGACATGTGAAATTTCCCATAAATGATAAATCAGATTGAAGAGCTTTTCGCCCACGTTCATCCGTCGTCTCCTGCGTCATGACTCCGTCCCTACTATTCTGCCTTCATACTATGATGCACAGTAGCCACTTGCAAATTGGAAATCAAGATTAGAGATTGGCTTCAAATGGCAAAATTTTATTGAGTCGGAAAGCAACATATTTGATACCTTAATAACTTAACTTTGTGAATCTTGATGAATACGACGGGCGAGAGGAAGCCTCAATTTTTTGACTCATAGATACTTAATACGTATGAATGCGTATATCGTAGATGGAGAATTCTGCTTATCTACTGTTGCATTCGTGTCCAACTGGGCCAGGCCTGATCTTGAAAAGTTGACCATTCCATTTTGCGTTGTAGCAACCCCACTAAGCGAGGATCTTTAGGGGAACTCTAAAGAGTGGAATCACCCATCTCAGTTCACTCCCTCTTCATCGAAAAAAGAGCGTCTTTGAAAGAGAATGAATGGAGAGAATCAAAAAATTCAAGACAAACCTAAAGAATCATCTGAAAATTGGCTGTCCATCGCAATCATTATTGAATTGTGTGATGAAGAAGGGCAGGCGAGATGTCTGTATCGTAATTTTTGAAGAAGGCGGGAAAATAGGCTCTGCAGAATTCAGTGATTAAGATGATCAACTCGCCTGGGATTAAATTCATTTATGATGGACAGGTGGCTCCATCATTTAAGGTTCTCCTGGAAGTAAGCTCGTCTCTAGTTTAATCTCTCTCCACCCCTCTCACGAAGCATGCTGGCATTCACAAAAAAAAGAGAAAGAAGAAGAGAAAGAGCGAACAGTATAGTTGATGTATCTTGATGTCTAATGCAATCTGAAAAATGTCCCTTATAGAGAGTAAATACTGTAGAGACCTGCACATTTATACGTGTTTTCTAGGAGCAAAAAGTTGGAGATAACCACTGTCTCCGAATTACCAAGGGAAACCGGGCTAACCATTACGGCCAGCACTCCACCACCTTATCCTCTTGATTGTTGAACATACAGTCTTAATCGCAGGTACATCTTACTCCCCATCGCTACAAGTCACCCGTCTCCCACTCAAATTTACCCCCTGCTTTCCCTATTCTCAGAATTTACTCGTACCTTCATATGCCTGTTGAAATCTATCATAATGTATTGCTAAGCGATACGGATAGATGTATTAAGATGAAAATCACCAGCGAGTTTAGAATCACTTGTACTTGAAGTCACAAACATCTAATTCCAAAAACAAGAGTAGCATTTCTAGATGAAACAACTTGAAATCGATTGAGCATGTGAAATCTCAGTGACAAAATCTACGACCCATTCATCCTTTCCCAGCCTTTCTTAATCTCAACTCCATCATTTCTCTCGATTAATCAATTTTCATCTCCTATCCCATCCTTGATTCTCAATCTATAAATCTTGTCCTCTCTTGATTCTATGGATGTAATTATTCAAATTTAGCCATCTCTATCTTCATCTAAACTGCACACGTTCATCATTGAGAGTGCACATCAAGTTCCGAACGCATCTCGGCTACGTCAGTAACGATCTGGTCAAGTCCACCATTCACTAATATCACACTTCGCAAACTCTCGCTTACATCCAATCACCCCTCTCTCATCCCATCTAGTCTCGTCACTACTCTTCATATTCAATCCGCTACACCGCTTTCACCCAAAAACGAAGTATCCAAACAAAAGAATCCATCAACTCTTCAAATCGTATCCTAGGATCCAGATAATAAAAATATATAAAATGGTTCATCGAAGCAAAACCTTACCGTCCCTCGAGGGACGGTAAGGAAACCCCCGGACGGGTTTTTTTCGATCGATTCGAACCAGGCGTGCTGACTCCTCCGCCAAACCGCATTTGTCCTGGACAAACAAGCCTGTTTGCTGCCTTTGCGGTTCGGACGAGGGAAAAGATCTTACCACGGTATATATAGTAGAGTTTCGGTGGGGTGTGCTGGATGATAAAGGTATTGTATGTAACTTTTGAATTACTTTCTCTGCTGCCTGGGAGCGCCTGAACAGACTTACAGGCTATAAATTATCTTAAAGGTTCCTGTTATAATTGGCAGATGTTTCCGTAAGTTTTGTTCGTGTTGTTGGAATGCCTTTTTGTGGTTGCGAATGCGTCAGAAGGGTGATTGGGCAATAGAATTGAATCAATCTGGATTTTGAACAGTGCCGATAACGAACAAAATATATTTACAGTTCCTAAATAGACCATTCATGGGACATACTCAGGTCTTATCTTCGCACAGTGATGTACATGAATGGAAGCCCATGCTTGAAGAAGTAAGAGATGCCAGACTGCATAATATTCCATGTCCCATTTCTGCTACTGATCGCACTTTCCACTTCCAAACGAGAATACATTATCTACCTCAAAGATCGCTAGCAGCAGTATCATTCACTCAGACAGAGACGCTACTAATTATTTGTCCCAGTATAAGACTTGACCATATAATGTTGAATGTGTGCATCAATCTACATGGGTGGAGGATATCGCTCACTAAGTCTACCAAGTTATTCGACTATAAGAAATCACATCAAGGCACGCAACTATCCATTCTCTAGATAATGAAGCAACTATTCCTGAAGTGATTCCTCCATGTGCGCTGCATTTCCCCCAAAATCCTGTCACAACGTAAAAGTTCAAGCCTCCCATTGTCCTAGTAGTCAAACCCGACTCGCCCGAGAATCATATGAGGAAGATCCTCGACATTGCGGTTTTCGGTATGCTGTCTTCGAGTAAAGAAGAGACCCGGGAGTAACGAGGATCCTTCGCCACTGCCACGCGTTGTAGTCTTACTCTCGGGTGTTATCATGAAGTCTTGAGATTTTTACCCGAACTTTTGTGATAGGGTGACGAATATTCACGGCTATTTCTGGATCAAAAGTATTTAGCTGAATATATATACATTTAATGAGATCAATTTATCAAGCGAATCGACTTTTAAAGAGCCGGATCCGGCGTCGAATCGAAAAGTTGGGCACTGATTGTACGACTGTCGTTGATTGTATTTGCGAAATCTTCACGATATGCCGTCACTATTCCTGTAGATAAGAATTGCAAGATTAAAGTCTTTATAATGACACCCAAGTTAAGAGTCTTGTGTGCGGAAATTCTCGATAATACACGGGGTGGATGAAAGATGATGGGCATACAAGGAAGAAAAAGATATTGGGCAGGAAACTTTCTTCAATATGGCATGGGTTGAGGGTTCTAGACTGAGAAGAACAACGAAATGCATCAAGTCGGGTCAAAGTATTTCTAGGCCGCTGCTGAAGTGACCATGACATGGCAGGTATTTTCTTATCGTAATATTGGGCCCAATTTGATGAGAAATTTTGCAATAAACGCGATATGTTGGCGGCCATGGCCTTGAAACTTTTTATATGAACTCCACATGAAATTTGAATTACCCAATGATATAATGTCCGTCTCGTAAACCGAAACTCCGACCCCAAAAGATTTCCGCCTCCACGCCAAGATTTATCCACGCCATTCCAAGTTCCAACCCTCCGTCCATTTAAATCGAATGCCAAATTTCAATCTTACATGCATTTAAAGTGCCGATCCAAGCTTTATTGCCTTACGCGCTCATACTAACTCTCCTGCGGCCCGTCTTAAGATCCCCGCGAACGAATCGGCTCCGGACCCCAACCAACAGCAACTCCCCGCCCCCTCGCATACCTCTATAGTATCGATATTACTACCTGATTCTTGGGCCGAACTAAGCATGAGTCGGGCGTATGCATCTGTTAGTACGTTGTCTAGTGGGCACAGAACGTATGTGGTGGGAATTGTGCGCCATGCCGCCATTGTTGTTCTGTGATATAACACTGATGTGGCTTGGGGGCGCATGATGTGTGCATACTGAATGATTTAGTAAACGGTGCTTTAGTATAGCTGTAGTAACTCACATATTCGGCATGCTCATGCGGTAGGTCATTGTAAAAGTTTTGAATCGCCGATGTGGATGGAATAGACACAGTAACAGCCTTTTTCTAAGGTTTAGTGAACGTAAGTTAGAACTCAATTCAGAACAAGCGCAAAAATCTTAGCTGGAATGAGGAACCAATACTTCTCGACTCCATTGCAATCGCGAGGTTCATGGAAAACATCCAGCGGAAATAAGAAATGCGGGTTGATTG